TCCCTTACTATGGACTGTGCTGCCTTCTAGGAATTGTCCTGATGGGTCAAAGGTATCACCTGTTCCTGTATTTCTATTGTTTCCACGACCATGCGGCGTTTTCCTCATTTTTCTTGTAGGAATAAGGTCCCTGGAAGACGGACTCTCCCAACCCTTGAGGGCACTCCCGCTGCACACACCGTTTCCTTGATCCAAAATCCACCTCATTGGTTCTTTGTGAAAGAATGAGGTGATCCCGTATGGCAGCTTGTGCAGCTTTTAACTACACATAGCAGGTCTAATTATGGATTTTAGACCATTTGTACTTAGGCCCTTGGTGGCACATGATCTTTGGTGACAGGTAGCCTCCGATATTTTAATTCTTGCTGCCAACTGGAGATGGATGTTGTATGTATGGAACAGTTCATAAATTACCCTGAAGAGGCTTTCCCACAGGAATAGGTACACTGGGTACTGGAGTGTCTTTACAGTCACTACTCTATACAGTATAAGATGGCTATAAATGTTTCCACCTAGACAACTGTGACGGCAACCTTTATAGGAGTAGGTAGGAGTCTCTATAAACTTTTTGGCAGTCCACATACACATTTTGGCATTTGAAAAGCTGTCATGAGCACAGCCACAAAATGGCTACCATGGAGGCCTGTTTGGCCACAAAGCAAAAATTATTTCCTTCGCACGCACAAAAATAAGAGTATTAGGCACAGGGTGGGTGTTAAGCCCCAAATGTCATGTAACAGGTTTAACACTACAGAGCAGAACATAACACGTGTACAGTATCACAAAAGGAAAGTTGTTAATGCTTGGAGAACCACCCACAACACAGGTGAGCACATTACAGAAACACACACTCCACATACACATAGGTAGACACAGGCAAAATGCTGGAGGAGAGAAAAGAATCATTGTTTTCTTCCTTTCAGACCCATTTCCTACTTCAGGTCCCTTCTTGTGATGCCACACAGTTTCAATGGAATTATGAAGATAGCAAGAATAGCAATCCCACCTCCCCTGCATTAGCAAGAAGTCATTTGGACTCTTGCCATCAGCAGATCAGGACTGCAACCCCTAGGTAATGCTAATTTAACCCTAATTGGCTAAAACTAAAGAGTTTGCTAAATTTTTACCACAGTTCCCCCAGAGGGAGGACTCCAATGCCACACAGTTTCAATGGAATTATGAAGATAGCAAGAATAGCAATCCCACCTCCCCTGCATTAGCAAGAAGTCATTTGGACTCTTGCCATCAGCAGATCAGGACTGCAACCCCTAGGTAATGCTAATTTAACCCTAATTGGCTAAAACTAAAGAGTTTGCGAAATTTTTACCACAGTTCCCCCAGAGGGAAGACTCCAGTGTGTGTGTGTGTGTGCGTGCACGCGCACACATGCACGCATGCACACATACACCAAGTGAAAGGGTGGGTATACATGATGCCTAAACTTGTTTAAAGAACTGGGGTGTGATAACCAATCAACAGCTTCCTCAGCTGTAATTTTAAAGCCACATCTCCAGTGTAGCCAGCATCCTCCCAAACTTACATCTAAGACAAGTGCCTGGCAGAATCCAACTGCCAAGAACTTTTGGACTCTACAGTATTGCTGTGTGCCTGACAAAGTGGACATCTGATCCATAAAAGCTAGCAGATCGTATGATTTCTTTCATGATCTATAAAGTTATCGCCTACTCCTGCATTTGTAGTGTGCAATGACTGCACGGTTTCCTTTTATTTCAATAGATGGGAAAGTGTAGGAAGAAGCCCCTATTGGCTGGGAAACATGGGGACTCGTTGGGATGGGAAACCTTTTTAGAGATTCTGCATCCATCAAAGTCAGGACAGTCATGATGATCCATAGCCCTAAGAAATGCAGGAGCAGCAGAAGTAAAAATGAAAGTGCGGAAGACTGCCATGGCTTTTGGACATCCCTTTGGAGTTAAATGCAACATCAGGCATAAGTGCATCCCCTTCAGATGTAATCTTACGTTTGCAAAAGTTTAGAATGAATGGACTTTTCTTCCCCAACCCCATCCAGCACAGCCACTGGATATTGCTGTCTCAAGTTCCAAATCAACACATGAGCAATGCTGGCAAGGTCTGATAACTTGGATGTCAAGAGGAATGAGGTTGCACATGTACACACAGGCTATGTGGTAGCAGGTGATGTGGCCCCATTGCTGCAGGAGGGCCTACCTACAGGATACCCTTTCCCTGACCCTCCATGCTCGGTGTCTGGGTCTGTGAGCTGCCACTGTAATTCTTTACAATACTCTAGAAAATTCAAGTGACAAGTTGCAGCCATCCTTGAAATGCTGCTGTTGCTTTTGTCACTGATAAATATGCCATTCATTTGCTCAGTCTCCTCAAACCAAGAACTGCTTCTGCATGTAGGATACCAACATATGAGCTCACTAGCCAGCCATCTTCCAGAGTACAAATAAATAAATATGTGAAGGGTGGCATTATAAGGGCAGACTCTGCCCCAAACCTACATGAATTCATTCCAAAGGACACCAAGGCTTTCCATGTGTGTAGCTAAATGGGCAGAGCACTCTCTCCCCTTCATCTGAAAGGGTTAAGAGTTGTGAACTGTGTGCACACAAACTGCTATGTACATCCAGCTATTACACATGACAGAATGTGAATCTGGGTCAAAAAGTGCTGCTTTAGTACAGCACATACTTGCCCCCTTATATGTGTGTACATTTCTACTTTAAGCCTCCTGATCAATGTTCCCTTTTATTTTCCACAGCAACTGGAACCAAATGAGCAGCAACATTAACCGTGGGTGTGTGGCACCAATACAGTGCTGCACAGCCATGCAGCTTAGAGGGAATGTTGCTCCTAATAATTGTTCTCTATGCAACCTGAAGAACGTGCTAAACCCTTTACAAAACTGAGAAGTGCACATATATCAGACTCAAGCAGTGGCAATCCGTGGAGGAGTGGAGGTATGTGGTCCCATCAGCCAGCTATGAACAAACTATCGGAGACCATCCTGATTCTGTCTGGTCATGGTCATTCTCCCCTCCCCTTTATTTTGAACCATGGAATTCCTGTGTCATGTGGGTGCTGCTGATGCAGAAATCAGTTTCAGTGACAGGGCTCCATGTACATAGCTACCCGACTCTTTTTATATGCACCCACATGGTGTGACAGTATCTCCATCATTGCTTCCAACATAATCTCTCTGTGTGTACACTCTGTCTCTTTCTCTCTGTCTCTGTCTCTCTCTAATTATCGTAGAATGGGCATTTAAGAAACTAAATAATGTAATTTGATGAGTGCCAGAAAAACCTGTATATATAGGTTTTCACCAATGGTGGATTATTTAGTTTCTTAAATGTCCATTCTAGGATAATTAGGTGTGCTGTACACAGAATAAAATGAGGCAAGTGCTGCTCTCAACTTTATAGTCCAAAGATTCAGTGTAAGGAACAGGGATTCAAGAATAACAGATATAGTTAAGGGTTCTTAAATGCTTTGGGAGCAAAGAGGAAGGAAAATGCAATGAAGAAGATTCATGTGATACAATAAGAGCCAGCATGTTCTAGAGTTGGGTGACTGATTTGTGATCCTTCCTTAAGATGTTGCTTTACCTGCATCTAGGAATATCTTGAGGGACTCAAGTCAACCAGCAATAGGCAGTGCAAAGGGATAATGGGAAGGTTGCCCTGTTCTATTGACTTCAACATCAGACTAGGGCTTGGAAGACCTGAGTTCAAAACCTCACCAACTCATGCTTTCTGGATGCCTGTGGGCTAATCACCTTCTCTCAAAGTGATTATTCCTCAAAGGGTTGTTGTGGAATAAGGATGGGTGAGCATCAAGAGAGGTAGGAAGCAATGTGCTTACATGGAATTGAGCAGCAAGGGAAAGAGGGTGCTTTGAGGGAAATGGGCCATAATTGTGACTAAGCTGATAAATGATGAGTGCCAGAAAAAGTAACAACAGCACAGAGAGGGAATAGGAGTGAACAGCTAAGTGGAGATGAATGAACATATTGGGGAAGTAGAACTAGTTTAAGAAAAAAGAAGGGGAAGCCAGCTTAGAGGACAGAAAAACAGGATTACTGTACAGTAGTGGCAAAAACGAAACAGACGGAAACAATTAGAGGCGAAGGGCTGGGAGGCTGTGCTTCCCAACAGTCTAGTAGCAACAGTTTTGTACCAAGTAACTGTCACTGATTTACACATCGGGAGAGCGTGCGGCGGGAGCTTCCTGCGGGCGTTTAGGGGGAAAGCCCCTTCTCTGGGTGGGCCTGCAGGAACCCCAAGAGTCAGGCTTGAAAGGAAGGCCCGGCGCTCCTCCTTCGGCTCCAAAGGGCTCACGATGACCGGAAGCGCCTTTCCTCATCCTTGCCAGGCAAGCGATAACTCCTTTTTTTCCCTTTCTTTTCTTGGTCCAGCCACGAGAGAGCCTCCCAGAGGCTTTGGGTGGCCTTTCCCTCATTCCGCCGGGGACAGCCTCGCTTTCTTGTCCTTTTCCCCCTTCTCTTTTCTGCCACGCTGCGCCTTCTCTTCCTCAAAGCAGGTCCCCCAGCACGCTTCCCCTCGCAAGCCATGGAGCGAGGACCCTCCCTTTTGCAGCCGCCGCCTCCTCTTCCCGGAGATGTCCGCCGCCGCCGCCGCCGCCGCCCCTTCCTTGGCAGCCTCCCCGGGGCACTCGCGCGCCTTCCTCCCTCT